CGGGGGATTTCCGCGTTTGAGCCATCGAGATCCAATAGGAATATTGGCCTGATATATTCAGGTTAATTAGCATGCTTGAGTAAGATACTCTCCGGTGTATTCGTACATTATGTTCCGTGGAAGTGCTCATTATTAATCATAACGTTTCACATGTTTGTTCCACAAAGGCTTTGATAAGATTCTTGCCTGGTGGTATGCTCTTAGCTTCTTGTATTATTACCTCAGTGTTGGCTCTCCCACCGGGTTGAACGGCGGCAGCAGCGCTATCGGGGTGTATAGGACGAAACGGGAGAATGAGGGGGAGGAGGAAGAGGAAGAGGAGGAGGAGGGGAAGGGAGGAGGAGGGGAAGGGAGGGAGGAGGGGGAGGGAGGAGGTGGAGGGGAGGGAGGAGGTGGAGGGGAGGGGAGGGGGAGGGGGGAAGGGAAGGGGTGGAGGGGGAGTGGAGGGGGAGGTGTGGAGGGGGAGGAGGGGGAGGAGGGAGAGGTGGAGGAGGAAGGGGAAGGGAGGAGTGGAGGGGGAAGGGAGGAGGTGGAGGGGGAAGGAGGAGGTGGAGGGAAGGGAGGAGGGGGAGGGGGAAGGGAGGAGGTTGGAGGGGGAAGGGAGGAGGTGGAGGGGGAAGGGAGGAGTGGAGGGGGAAGGAGGAGGTGGAGGGGAAGGGAGGAGGTGGGGGAAGGGAGGAGGTGGAGGGGAAGGTGGAGGGGAAGGAAGGAGGAGGTGGAGGGGGGGAGGAGGTGGAGGGGGAAGGGGAGGTGGAGGGGGAGGTGGAGGGAGGTATCAGGCAGCGGTTAGGGGGACCTTCCGCCCGCATGCCTGCGAGCTGCTTGGGCCTTTTCTCCTTCTTGCTGTGGTTCTTCGTTAATTCTTCTCCTCTGTACGTCTTCTTCGTTTCTCCTTGTCTTCCTTTCTGTGGTGTTCTTTGTTTCTCATTCTTCGTTATCGTCTTCATATCGCGCGATTGTCTGTCCTGGGTATTGTAATCGACTGTTTTTCTCTCTATTTGCATTGATATGTAATTATTTTTTATTTTTACTAATATCAATGTCGCCGTCGTCATCATCAATGTTCCTGTCACAATCATGATCATCATCACTCATCACCATCATCATCATCAGTCATCACCATCATCATCATCAATCAATTATTATTACTGGAAAAAAATAGTTTCCCCTTCCGGCTATTGTAATCTCTTGTCTTCTTACCACTTCCTCTCCCTTTCCTTCGCCCGGATAGGGAAGTCAGCCATTTACTTCCGGTTCCTTCCCTCCCCTCTTACCCCCATCCCCACTCACCCCACCCCATTGCACCCTTGGCCCGCCTCTCCTTTTGAATTGAATGGATGTGTATTGGTTTATTGGTATAAGCGCCACGGAGTTTATGTTCGACGGATGAGCGAAATTCTCTAGCGGGTGTGGGAGTGAATGTCGTGGGAAAATAACGCGGGAGTTGGGAATAACGAGGAGAAGAGGAAGGGAGGTGTGCAAGGAGGAGGAGGAGGAGGAAGAAGAAGAAGGAGAAGGAGGGAGGAGAAGGAGAAGGAGAAGAGGAGAAGGAGAAGCGAAGAGGGAGAAGAGGGAGAGAAGGAAGAAGGAGAAGGAGAAGGAGGAGAAGGAGAAGGAGAAGGAGAAGGAGAAGGAGAGGAAGAAGGAGGAGAAGGAGAAGGAGAAGGAGAGAAGTTAGAAGCGAGAAGGAGAAGAAGAAGAGAAAGGAGAAGGAGGAATGAGAAGGAAGAGGAGGGAGAAGGAGAAGAAAGAAGAGGAGAAGGAGAAGAAGAAGGAGGAGAAGGAGAAGGAGAAGGAGGAGAAGGAGAAGAAGGAGGAGGAGAAGGAGAAGGAAGAAGGAGGAGAAAGGAGAAGAAGGAGGAGAAGGAGAAGAAGAAGGAGGAGAAGGAGAAGAAGAAGGAGGAGAAGGAGAAGAAGAAGGAGAAGGAGAGAAGAAGGAGGAGAAGGAGAAGAAGAAGGAGGAGAAGGAGAAGAAGAAGGAGGAGAAGGAAGAAGAAGAAGGAGGAGAAGGAGAAGAAGAAGGAAGGGAAGGAGAAGAAGAAGAGGAGAAGGAGAAGAAGAGGAGGAGAAGAAGAAGAAGGAAGGAGAAAGGAGAAGAAGAAGGAGAGAAGAGAAGAAGAAGGAGGAGAAGGAGAGAAGAAGGAGGAGAAGGAGAAGAAGAAGGAGGAGAAGGAGAAAGAAGAAGGAGGAGAAGGAGAAGAAGAAGGAGGAGAAGGAGAAGAAGAAGGAGGAGAAGGAGAAGAAGAAGGAGGGAAGGAGAAGAAGAAGGAGGAGAAGGAAGAAGGAGGAGAAGGAGAGAGAAGGAGGAGGAGAAGGAGAAGAAGAAGGAGGAGAAGGAGAAGAAAGAAGGAGGAAGGAGAAGAAGAAGGAGGAGAAGGAGAAGAAGAGGAGGAGAAGGAGAAGAAGAAGGAGGAGAAGGAGAAGAAGAAGGAGGAGAAGGAGAAGAAGAAGGAGGAGAAGGAGAGAAGAAGAGGAGAAGAGAGGAAGAAGGAGGAGAGAAGAGAGAAGAAGGAGGAGAAGGAGAAGAAGAAGGAGGAGAAGGAGAAGAAGAAGGAGGAGGAAGGAGAAGAAGAAGGAGGAGAAGGAGAAGAAGAAGGAGGAGAAGGGAGAAGAAGAAGGAGGAGAAGGAGAGAAGAAGGAGGAGAAGGAGAAGAAGAAGGAGGAGAAGGAGAAGAAGAAGGAGGAGAAGGAGAAGAAGAAGGGAGGAGGAAGGAGAAGAAGAAGAGGAGAAGAAGAGAAGAAAGAAGGAGGAGAAGGAGAAGAAGAAGGGAGGAGAAGGAGAAGGAGAAGAGGAGAAGGAGAAGAAGAGAAGGAGAGGAGAAAGGAAAGAGGAGAAGGAGAAGGAAAGAAGGAGGAGAAGGAGAAGGTGGAGAAGGAGAAGGAGGAGAAGGAGAAGGAGGAGAAGGAGAGAAGGGAGAAGGAGAAGAGGAGAAGGAGAAGGAGGAAAGGAAAGGAGAAGGAGAAGGAGAAGGAGAAGGAGAAGAGAAGGTGAGAAGAAGGAGAAGAGGAGAAGAGAAGGAAAGAAGGAGGAGAAGAGAAAGAAGGAGAAGGAGGGAGAAGGAGGAGAAGAGAGGAGAAGGAGAAGGAGAAGAGAAGGAGGAAGGAGAAGGAGAAGAGAGGAGAAGAGAAGGAGAAGGAGAAGGAGAAGGAGAAGGAGAAGGAGAAGAAGCAGGAGAGGAGGAGAAGGAGAAGGAGAGAAGAAGAAAGAGAAAGAAGAAGAAGAAGAAAAAAGAAGAAGAAGAAAAGAAGAAGAAAGAAAGAAGAAGAAGAAGAAGGAGGAGGAGAAAAGAAAGAAAGAAAAAGAAAAGAAAAGAAAGAAAAGAAAAGAAAAGGAAAAGAAAAGAAAAGAAAGAAAGAAAAAAAAGAAAAGAAAAGAAAAGAAAAGAAAAGAAGAAAAAAGAAAAGAAAAGAAAAGAAAAGAAAAGAAAAGAAAAGAAAAGAAAAGAGGGAGAAAACGAAGAAAGAAAAGAAGAGGAAGGAGAGAAAAGTAGTTGGAGATGTCTAAAGGAAAAGAAAGAGACAGACAGACAGACAGACTGAGGCAGACAGAGAGAGACACAGAGACAGACAGAGAGAGACACAGAGACAGACAGAGAGACACAGAGACAGACACAGAGACACAGAGACAGAAACTGAGAGAGATAGACAGAGGCAGACAGATGCAGAGACAGAGACAGACGAGAGAGACATAGACTGAGAGACAGGGACAGACTGAGAGAGACATAGACAGACTGAGAGACACAGGGACAGACTGAGAGAGACATAGACAGACTGAGACACAGGGACAGACTGAGAGGCACAGAGACAGACAGAGAGGCACAGAGACAGACAGAGAGGCACAGAGACAGACAGAGAGAGAGACACAAATACATACATACAAAGAGAGAGAGAGAGAGAGAGAGAGAGAGAGAAGAAGGAGAGAGAGAGAGAGAGAGAAGA